ATTATTAATTTTATATTGTAATATTAAATTTTAATTCTATTTATCATTATTCTAATTAAAAATTACAATTATCACAATAAGTTAAGTTGAATTCAGCAAGTTCATGCCTCTCGAGGAAATATTATTTGTAGGGCCCATATTTTTGGACATTCATTCACCAAAAGCAAACCGCGTGTTGATTATTTGTAGGGCCCATATTATTTATAGCAAACCGCGTCTTTGAAGGCATCAACAGCTTTATTGTACTCCTATTATTCTGTCCATGCAATGACCATCATAACCCTATTGAAGAAAAACAAAACAATATCACTACAATATTTTTTGAAAATAGGTAATGGAAATATCACTACAATATTAAAAAGTTGCAATAGATGTAATAAGTAGACTTGATTTGTAAGAAGTTCGAATTTTGTCATATTTTAAGATAAAATTTTTATATTCTTTTTGTTTTAAAATTATATTTTTTTTACTTTTATTTTATGATTAAGAATTTAAAATAATTTTTATCTTTATTTATTTTATTCTAAAAAAATAAAAATAAAGATGCCATATTAACCTATTAAAAATTTGAGATAATTTCCATCTTAAGATTTTAAGTTTGATTTTTATCATGTGTGCAGTTAATTTAATATTGTATTGGTGTTTAATTTTATTTAATGATAATTAATTTACACTATTAATATATAATGCAGTAATGGATATGTAATTAACTCTTTTTTTTAATATATAATGTAGAAAGGCTATTTTATCCAATGGAGGTCTTATCTTGTGTTGGAGATTCTTTTTTATCTGCTATATTTAACTTGTTATTCGACAAGTTAAAGGAATATCTAAGTGATGAACTATGGGATTCAAAGGAGGAAATACGTGCCCAGATGGAAAGCTGGATGACTCTATTGCCCAAAATTACTGCTGTACTTCAACATGCAGAAGAAAATCAAGTTGCCAACCAGTTTGTGAAGTCATCTCTTGATGATCTCAGGGACTTGGCTTATGATATGGAGGACATACTCGAAGAGTTTGTGATTGATGCCAAGAGGCCTGAATTGATTGCAGAATATAAAGCCAGACCTAGCAAGCGACAAAGAATCATCTCCAATGTCAAGAATTTTTTTAGCTCTAATAAGGCTAAGCCCAATCAAGAGATTAATTCCATGGTGATGGATCTGAGCGGTAGATTGCAGAAACTTGAAAATGGGATGCATAGTTTGGACCTGACCAATTTGGCTTTGAAACTTGAAGATAGGTCTCACAAAGTAGCTACAAAAAGACTACCTGAGTCTTCTCTTCTTGAAGATAAGGTGTGGGGTCGAGATATAGATAAAGATGCTATTCTTCAGAGGTTGCTAAAAGATGGAGGTAGTCTTGAACAAGACTTTGTTATTCCCATTGTCGGAATGGGTGGACTAGGCAAGACAACTCTTGCTCGGCACATCTACAATGATAAAAAACTGGAAGGCAAGTTTAACTTGAAGGCATGGGTTTGTGTCTCTGATGAGTTTGATGTTGCTCAAATAACAAGAACCATTTTAGAACATGTAACTAGGGAAACGTGTGACTTTGATTTTTGTTTGCTTCAAGAGAAATTGAAAGGGTGATTATCTGGGTGCAGGTTTTTGCTTGTGTTGGATGATGTTTGGAATGAGAAATATGGCCCATGGGATGTCTTGAAGAGACCTTTCATGTCAGGAGCTCCTGGAAGTAAAATAATTGTCACAACTCGAAATAAGGATGTTGGGACGATGATGAGAGCAGATGATGGAGTTTACAATTTAGCATTGCTACAAGATGATGCTTGTTTGCCATTATTTACACGACATGCACTGGGGAAAGAGAACTTTGATGCGCACCCAAACCTTCAAGATATTGGTGAGAAGCTTGTTAAGAGGTGCAAGAGATTGCCATTGGCATTAAAAACACTTGGTGGCATCTTGCGGGGAAAGCTGCGTCGTGATGAGTGGGAAAATGTATTAAACAGTGACGTATGGAGTTCATCAAAAGATAGAAGTGGAATTCTTCCTACTCTGAGATTGAGCTATAATCATCTTCCTTCTCACTTGAAGCGATGCTTTGCTTATTGTGCTTTGTTCCCGAAAGACTATGAATTTGACAAAAAGGAGTTGGTTCTGTTATGGATGGCTGAGGGCTTGTTACAGCAACAGTCACATGAAAAGAAGCAAATGGAAGAGGAGATTGGTCATCAATATTTCAATGAGTTGTTCTTAAGATCACTCTTTCAGCAATCAAGTACAAATAAATCACGGTTTGTGATGCATGACCTCATAAATGATTTAGCTGTACATGTTGCTGGAAAAATATATTGCAATCTTGAACGTAGCATGGGTGATGAAAAATTAGAGAAAGCTCGTCATTTGTTATTCACTCCACATGAGTATGAAATCTCAGAGAGATTCACAGTCTTAGATAAGTTGAAGCATTTGAGAACATTCTTGCCACTTTTTGGTTACAAAACTTGCTTGTATTTGTCTAAAAGAATCTTGCATGAGTTCCTACCAACATTAAATCGCTTAAGAGTGCTATCTCTTCGCCACTATCAGATAAGCGAGCTACCAGAATCTTTTCAAAATTTGAAACATATTCGGTACATTGATTGTTCTTGTACAAGTATCAAATGTATACCTGAATTAGTGGGTTCTCTTCTCTTCTTACAAACACTACTATTATATGGTTGTAGAGAGCTTAGTAAGTTGCCTATGAAAATTGGGAATCTAATTGACCTCCATCATCTTGATATCACTGATACACCATCTTTAAAAGAGATGCCATCAGGAATAGGCAATCTTAAAAATCTTGTAACATTATCCAAATTTATCGTGGGGAAGGCAGGTGGAATGATGACGAGATTATCTGATTTGAAGAACTTGTCACAACTTCAAGGAAGACTGTCCATTCTAGATCTACAGAATGTTTTTGATGTTAAAGATGCAAGGGAGGCCAACCTAGACAAGATCCATGGTTTGGAAGAGTTAGTCTTGAAGTGGACTGTTTTTGATGACAATCAAGATGAATCAGTCCTCATCTTGTTAAAACCTCATTCAAATTTGAAAAGTCTTAAAATTTGTTGCTATAGTGGTGAGAATTTCCCTCCCTGGGTTTGTGATCCATCATTATTTTTCAATTTATCATCCATGGAGCTCCGTAATTGTAAGAGATGCACTTGGTTACCATCACTTGGCCTACTACCTGTTCTCAAAAAATTGATTATTGAAGGCATGGAGGAAATAGAAGCTGTAAGTTCTGAGTTTTATGGGCAGCATGGCTCTTTTCCATCATTGGCTGAATTGGTGTTTAGAAACATGCCAAAGTGGAAGGAATGGACTTCTCCAGTTGGAAGTGCAGGTGAATTCCCTTGTCTTCATAGGCTTGTGATTGAAAATTGTCCTAAGTTGTTAGGACAATTACCCAGTAACCTTTCTTCACTTAAAGAGTTAGATGTTAGAAGCTGCAATGGGAAGCTTTTGAAGAGTATGGGAGATGTCCCCTCTCTTACTTATTTGAGAATTGAGCATATTTCAGAACTGACTTGCTTACCTATGAGGATGAGTCTTCCATCATTAAAAGAGTTGTCTATTAGAAACTGCAACGGGGTGCTTTTGAAGAGCATGGTTGATCTCACTTCCCTCACTAAATTGGGAATAAGAAATATTGTACATCTAACTTGCTTGCCTGAGAGTTTTACACAGTCCTTGACAACACTTGAGACATTGGATATTTTCCTTTGCAGTGATCTTACTTGTTTGTGGGAGGAAGGGACAGAAATAGAACAAAGCCTCTTGCCTTTCAATCTTAAACATCTTAGCCTCAAGTACTGTAGAGCCTTGGAGTCATTACCCAATGCAATGATGATGAGGATGGATGGAAGCAGTAGCAGCAACACTAATATGTTGATGTCGAGACTAGAATGGTTGGAAATTTGTGATTGTAATTCTCTCAAGTCGTTTACAAGAGGCAAATTACCCACCTCGCTTAAATACTTAACAATAGATCGTTGTAAAGGTCTTGAGTCTCTACTGGATGTTGATGGTGACTATAATAATAACAATATAAATTATCCTTCTCAGGGTAATTGTCATCAGCTTCCAACTTTTTTCAAGGAATTTAAAGTTACTGATGGTGGCGAGTGGCTGGAATCATTTCTAGAGAAGATGCTACAACATTATACAGGACTCCAATCCATTTCTATTGGGGATTGTAAAACATTGAAAAATTTACCCAACCTTGATTGCATCAGCAATCTCTTTAAATTATCTATTTACTGCTGTGAAGTTTTAGAGTCCTTACCAGAAGAGTTGGGGTTATGCACCCCCAATCTTAATTGGTTGGGCATAACAAGGTGTGAGAATTTCAAATCCCTCCCAAATACGATGTACCAGCTGAAGTCTCTTCAAACGCTATTGATGAAAGACTGCCCCAGCATCGAGTTCATTCCAGATGGGGGTTTGCCCCCAAACTTAACAAATCTTCAATTACAGAATTGTGAGAATCTCAAGTGTGTGCCGAATACAATGTACCAACTGACATCGCTTCAGAGTCTATCACTTTCAGGTGACGCTTTGACGATGGACCTCCAAAACCTTATGTCTCTTCAAGAATTGACAATTGAGCAGAAACTCCCAGTGGATATTGTGCTGCCTTCTTCTTTAACCTCTCTTTCGATCTGGAAAGAAGAAAATTTGGAATCCATACCTGGGGGGCTATTCCCAAACCTAAGCTCCCTTCGATGGTTACTTATAGAAGATTGCCCGAAGTTACGATCTTTACCAAGGGAAGCCTTCCCTCCCTCACTTAAAAAACTAAAAATCCGGAGTTGTCCGCATGTAAAACGACAGTGCTTTGAGGCGAAAGGAGACTACTGGAGTCTCACCTGGAGCATCCCCTTTGTTTAGATAAATGAAGACGAGGTAATATGAGGTTAGAGTGAACAGAAACATGCATCAGCATTTTATGCTTTTCATATGAGAATTTAGAAAAATTATAATAGATTACACTTTGACTTCTATTGCTATTTCTTATAAGCGTTGCAAATCCTTTTTGCAGGGTGTATTTTATCCCAGTTGTTGAGGTAAATAAAGCCAAGCCACTCCTGAATGTTTATTCATTCATTCCTTGGATTCATCAGCTGTACATACTATTTATTATTCACTTTAAAATTATTTTCCTCTAAAAACACGCATGCATTAACTTGCCTCAAAAATGGCTTACGCTTTCAGATTATTTCAAAGGGGACCAGTTGCTAGCCTTGGCATCATGGATTATTTCAGAGCTGGAACTGGAATGCGAATGACCTATTTTGAATTAAACAACCTGTAAGTATTCAACTTACCCCTTTAAAATTTTATTGTGATGCCTATTGGCTTTGCTTTTGTTATTGCTTAGAATAAGGAATCAAAATTGATATATCAGGCTATCTCTATAGTTCATTTTACTTGAGCAAAGTTATACATTTTGATGATATACTGGTCTATTCCTTTGCTATCTACGATGTTACCTACCTTAGAATTAAATGATTATTTCCCATTGCATCCTTCTCTTGATTAATACATATTGGTTGTGTTAAAAACTGTCCAAATTTTTGTCATTTATTCTATAATTTTTAAAATATTTTTCCCAGATCCTATAGATTTCTACAGCTTTGTGTTATTATTTTACTTCGATATCATTTCAGCAATTCACTTATCCATCTTTCCTTTATATTTTACAACTGATACTTTTTTTTCTTTTTCAATAACAAGTTATACCATATTACTATGTGTGCTTGGCATTCATTTTCTCCATCCAAATTCTAAATGAATTATATTTTCTCAAATTCCAGTCTAGCCTTTGATTTTTCTAATTTCTCATCCTTTTTTTCACGTTCCCAGTTGCTTGTACAGAGGACATAGCAAAATCTTGTTAGGCCTATGTAGAACCCCTTTGTTTTATGACTCCCTTTTTCCTTCTATATGCCAGAAGTTATAAGCATACTCTAAATTGTACATGCGCTGGGGTACTGCTTGTATCCTGTTTAATAATTTTATTTGCTGATGGAAAAAATGAAAAAAAAAATGTCACTAAGGAACTTGTTGCTTGTAAAATGATGTTCTTAGGCAAGCCAACCAATTATGTTTTCCATTCTAAAGAATTGGGAAGACTTTTGAAACAAGGAGTTGCTGATGTTCAAATGAGATTTTTCTAAAGACTGGAACTAGAATGCAGATGACCTTTTCCAAATTAAACAAGCTCGTAAGCTGGAACTGAAACGCTGATGACCTTTGCTGAATTATATAAGCTTGTAATATGACTAAATCAAGCTGCAGTTTTACAAGTTTTTTATTTGGGAAAGCAAAACTTACCCTGCAAGTGTCCAGATTACCTCTTTAAAATTTTATTGTGATGCCTATTTGTTTTACTATTGTTATTGTTTAGGATAAGGAATCAAAACTGATATATCAGGCTATCTTTATAGTTCATTTTACTTGAGCAAAATTATCCATTTTGATGATATACTATTATATTCCTCTGCTATCTATGATGTTAGCTACCTTGGAATTAAATGATTATTTCCCATTGCTCCCTTCTCTTGATTAATAGATATTGGTTGAATTAAAGATTGACTAATTTCCATCATTTATTCTGCAATTTTTCAATTCTTTTTTTTCCAGATTATATAGATTTCTACAGTTTTGTGTTATTATTTTACTTCGATTTTATTTCTGCAATTCACTCATCCCTCTTTCTTTTTAATGTTACAATTGATGCTTTCTGTGTGCTCCAAAATTCAGTTTAGCCTTTGATTTTTCTATTTTCCCCTTTGTTTTTTTTTTTTATGTTCCCTATTGCTTGCGCAGAGGATACAGCAAAATCTTGTTAGGCCTATGTAGGATCCCTTTGTTTTGTGACTTCCTTTTTCCTTTTATATGCTAGAAGTCATCTTCTTATCTCACATTTCCCATAATTTTAGGGACTGCATTCCTACAACTGTGTAGCGTCCAACATAGTTCATATCTTGAATCTTGTAACATCTTATTAAACCCTTTACCTTTTTCAAGTCAACTACAAGATTACTTAGAAGGTGATTGATCTTAGATTACAAGTTCAAGCCTCCCTTTTTAAGCAAGATCTTTCTTCAGAGAGTAGCTGCTGGATGCTTTGACATTAACGTTGCCTTTCATGTGGGAGATGATGCTTCCAATATGATGAGTCAAAAATGAGTAATCCGACAATGTATACTGCATTCTCTCTTTCTTCATCCCAAGTCACAGCCAATATTGCAGCACAAACACTGCTGTTTTACTTAACAATGGGCTGACTTGCAAAGTAGCTTCAAGATCTAACAATTTGATGAAAAATGGTGGTGTTCACAAATTTGTCATAGTTGAAGGCTTTAAGCTATAATGTTCTGCCCTCCAAAGAATGCCTTCTCTGGTAAGGCAGGGTTCACTTTCTCATCCATCAGTTGTACAGAGTGATTCTCTATCATTTTATCAAGAAAATGCTAAGCTTTACTTCATTTTTGCAAACATGGATTTTCTTTGAGTTTTTCTAGTAACTTCCCTCTATCAAGGACA